GCTCTTCCCAGCTCTGCTCTGGGAACCCACAGCTGCTTTTAGGTTCTGACTAATGGGTGGGCATTAAAGTCAATTTTTATTTAATTAAAGTCCCCCTTCATCTCCCTCTCCCTGCAGTTAAATCCCCAGCACCCAGCACATTTACAGGGTCTCAAAGCTCGGGTTACTTTGGAAAAGCAGCTTTGCAAATGTAATTGTTGCTGAATAGAATTTGTTTGAGCATAGCTGTAAATCTTTCCCTAGCTCATATTCCATGACTGAAATTTTCCCTTGGCAAATCTTCCACCTGGATTTGAGCTTTGTTGCTTTCAAATCAACTTGATAAAAATACAAATCCTCAGCTTTTCCTGGTATTATTTTATCATACAATTTTTTTACTTGTACAAGTTTCTGTTGATGGAAATAAATTTCATATTTTCAGTCCATGACATTTCATAAAACAGTCCATGGAAAAGCAGAGTTGTGGCAAATACAAAATATCCCGACATGCAAATGAAAACACAGAATTATCTTGATAGTATTTCCTTCCTGGGCATTAACTTTGGAAGGAACAACAAATGCTGACAAGTAAAAGAAGAAGAAAATAAAACAGGCTTTTATGGGAAAAAATATTGTAATTTCATAGTTTCTGCTGTCAGAATGAGTTCTGTCATCCTGAGCATCAGAGCCTTGTTTTCATGCTCATGAATAATTACTGATACAGACTCATCTTTACTAAATAATGGTTTTTATTTTTCCCTGAACAAATTTCATTGTTTTATAAACACTGTTAAAACCTACACTTTTCAATTTAAATGCAGATTATTTTCTAAACATGCCAGTGAAACAGAGCAGATTCTGGTGAGAAAACACGAAGCAAACCAAGATTTTCATTATAACAACTCTGGAAAAACAATCATTAAAGCAGATACAATCACAAAGCATAATCTATTTCTGCAGTGCAAGTCAAACAAAGCTGTCACACAAAACAACTGATGCTGCTCTGAAGATCCTACAAAACCTTACAATAAACAGTTTATTTGCAGATAAACCAAACTCACCCGGTGAAGGCTGCAGGGAGAGCCCTGTCCCCAGGCAAGGGAAGGGACAAAGGAGAGTTTCCTTCTCCCTGGTGCTGACACCAGAATGACTCTCCCCAAAAGAATGTTCCCCATGTTGGAGTGCCCATGCTGCAGTCAAATATAGCCCCTGCCAGGCCCTCCCTGACAATGGGGATGGCCCAGCTGGGGACACTCACTGTCACTGCAGTGCCAGCCTGGCCCTCCCAGCTCTGCCAAATCACCCTTTGCCCAATGATGGAAGGAGGGACAGGTGAAAGAGCCAAATCCACCAAAATCCTGAGCACTGCATTGTGCTCTGCTCTTTTAGGACTTCACCAAGCATCTGAACTGAATTGTGGATATTTTAACCCTGTCCAGGAATGTCCCTTGGGGTAACCTTGCCATTGCTGCCCAACACAGTGACATCATTGGCTTTGACATCTCTTTAGTGAATGTCAGCTCCAGGCAAATCCTGGCAGTGTCTGATTACACCAGGAGCTCCAGCAGCTCACAGGTTTTGGTGGGCTCTGACTGTTTTATTTCCTTTTTCCAGCAAATAAAGGCTTGGTGCCTCAGAGCAGGTGAGCTCTGTGTATCCAGCAGCCCATGGTGGTGCCTGAGAGTTTGGGGCAGGCTCAGAGAACAGAGATTGCTGATTTTCCATTTATTCGAGGTGGTCTTGCAGTTCCAGCATTTGGGGGAATGTGAGGAGCAGAGGATGTTTCTTATGGTGTCACAAGGACCTGTGGGAATGAATTCCACTATAAAATCTGGCACAGAACCAGTAGGAGCCATTTCTAGGAACTTTATTTGCTTCACCATCCAAACAAAGAGGAATCCCAGCAGGATCAGTGCCAGAGCTCCCAGGACTTCCAGGTGTGAAGTTCCTTTGGTGGCTGTGTTTGTGACATTCCTAGGGAAGCAATAAAAGGAAGGACTGGGCTGGCATGTCTGAAGCATTGTGGTGTGAGCTGAGCTGTCAAAGGAACACTTCCCTTTCATTGCTTTTGAATCTGTGGCCACTCCAGTGCTTCCCTGAATTTCGTATTATGAGAAGTAATGTGTAATTATCATCTATTCTGCTTAAAATGAATCATTTCATTCATTTGGTCACAACAACCCTCTGTTATAAAATTTATTTCATTTTGAGGGGCAGGCACTGATCTCGGGTCTCTGTGAACAGGGACAGGACTGAGGGAATGCCTGGAGCTGGTTCATGGTGATTTAGGGTGGATTTAGGGAAAGGTTCTTCCCCCAGAGGGTGCTGGCACTGCCCAGGCCCCCAGGGAATGGGCACAGCCCCGAGGCTGCCAGAGCTCCAGGAGAGGTTGGATAGCACTCTCAAACTCAAGGTGGGATTTTGGGATGTCTGTGCAGGGCCAGGAATTGAATTTGATGATCCCTGTGGTCCCTTCCAGCTCGGGATATTCTGTGAGCTCTCCTTCATTCTGTCCCCAGAATCTGGAGCTTTCCTTTTGTCCCTCGAGTAAGATTTTCCTCACAGAACTTGTTAAAAACTCACCGGTGGTTTTTCATGGTGTTCAAACACCCTCCAGTGCCAAAATAAAGGAACAAACAGGGAGAGGGAATGGGATCCTCGGTTTGCAGAGTGTTCATCCCTGGGCAAGGATCCCTGCTGCTCGGGGAGTGAGCAAGTGCCAGCTCCCAGATTTAGCTGGGAAGACAAAGAGCAATGCTTTGCTCTAGGGTTACAGCTGCCACCTGCTCCTCTGCTGTCCTTGTGACAACTGAGGCACACAGCTCACCTGCCACCCGTGTGACATCTGCTGGGGACACAGCTCCCTGTGGAAAGGCACCTCCTGCTTTTGTCATCCTCGTGGCAAAACCTCCAGTTTATTGTCCAGAGCTATCAGAACTCTTATCTGGAGCAGCCAGGATGGCTGAGGAGGAGAGGCACAGATGGCTTGCATGGGAAGACCTTTGGAACAATGTTGAAATCCTGCTGCTTATCTGGAAATGTTCCTCCACAGGAGGAGGTGGAGATCAGGAGGTCCTGTTTGACACGAATGGATCAGTTTGGTTCTGAGCAGGGGGAGGCAGTGAGGCCAGCAGGGATGACGTGTTCCTTGTGCCAATAACATTCAACAGCATCAACATTTCTCTCTAAGCTTTTCCAAAGAGAAATAGCTGGAGAAGGGATGATCTGTGTGTTAAATTTAGGAGGTGACTCATGAGACAAGAATCAGTCTCCCTCTGCTCAGAAGATCCAGGCCTTAAAGATCAATATTGACTAAGGCATGACGAGAGCAGGAAGTTGAGGATATTCAGTCAGGCCCTCCTTAGGACAGGGCTGTGATCCCTGGGCATTACAGCTGCTGGGGGGAGGAACAGAGAGGATGGGATGGGATGGGATGGGATGGGATGGGATGGGATGGGATGGGATGGGATGGGATGGGATGCATTCCTGCCTTTTGTTCACTCATGGGTGATGCAGCCCTGAAGATATTTAAGGGCCTGAAGGAGAGGTGATGTCTGAGCTCAGGGACACTTTGCATCTTTAGGCACCTCAGTGCATTCTAAAAATCCACTCTCAGCTTTCTTCAGCTCCCACCTGTCCTCCAGCAGGATGACACATTTATTACATTACATTATGAGTCTGGGCATGGCTTCTGCAGAGGGATTTGGAAAAGCTTTTAAAATAGAAAATAACATAATTTTAGCAGCAGATTCAAATGCTCTCCCAAGGCCCCCATCCCTTCCACACTCCTCTGCCCATATTCATCCTGTGCTGGGGGTTCTGTTTCACAACACAATCCAAAATGTTCATATTGTGGCATTTGATTACTCACTGGGAATGTTGTTGACACAAGATATGCAGCCCACAGGCAACTCTGAAATAGGTAATTGGCATCACTGGCTTTAAATGCCTCTCCAGGGGGGTTTAGTGGAAAAAAAATGTTACCCCAGGGGTCTCCCAGTCCTTGAGAACAACTCCAGGAGCTGCAGCATTTCTCTGGGTGTTGTTTTTTGGGGCACAGAGTAGAGGAAACAGATCAAAGGACATTCCACAAACCCTTTGGTGGTGAATGGTATGGAGGGAACTCCCTGGAAATGTCCTGCTGCTCACTGCCCAAGCCGTATTTCAGTCTTTGATACCCTGGCACTTCTTCACCACACTTGGAATTTTCACCTTTTGGCCTCACAGGGCTCTGGTCCTTCATCAGTTGTTGGTGCTGGAACTCAGAGCTGAACCTTGGCCTGTAAAGTTTCTAAGACTATTTCTTTAATGCTGGGTTGAATCATCAAAAATCTTCACTTCCTGAACCTATGGCTTATTTGCACAATCATCCCAAAGCAAGTGGAATTTAGCCTTTAGCTTCAGCTTTCCTGGGATGAGAAAACCCCCAAGTGCACTTGGAGTGGGAACAGCTGAATTTTACCTCTGCTCAGCATTGGTCTCTTTGAGTAAATACTTCCCCATACCAGACAAACTTTGCTTATTCCTGTAAATGCTTTCACTTCTCTAAAACCAATGTCCTCAGACACATTTTTTCACCACAGCAGTGGAAATAAACAGGCTGAACTGTGCTTTTCTCTGAAAAATAATCACCTCCTCTGGCCCCTGAATTAGAATTTAGCTTGCTTTTGGTGGAGGTCCAAGTACCCAAGGATTTTGACTCCCAGAAAATGGTGATGGCAGCTCTGGAGGATGCACCAGGAACATGGAGCAGGTTCCTCATGGGCAGTGAGGGGTGAGAGGAAGAGCTCCAGACCTCGCTGGTCTCCTTTGTGGATTACTGAGTGCATGGATAAATTGGGATAAATTGATACTGGGAGTAGAACTGGGAGTGCTGCAAATCCTCACATCCCTGCATGCCTGGAATGTGATCCCAGGTGTTTCATCCCTGGATCTCAGGGCAGGAAGGGAATGTGTGACTATTGCAGAGAAGAAAGGAGCAGCAGTTGAGAAATCTCAGAACTGGGCCAAGGCTTCATTAATCTGCTGCAGAGATGAAAAAGGCTTTATCTTTGTACAGGTATTAAAAAAGGCTTTATCTTTGTACAAGTATTAAAAACCACAGGGAACAGGGACATATTTCACAGAACTGCTGCATCAGGAGCTGTTACACAGTTTCAAGGACTCCTTTAAAGGCAAAGTCCATTCCAGGAAAGTGGAATACTCTTGTCCAAGTCCTTTATCCAAGGGTAGAACACCAGGAGCTATTTACTTCTTTTACTGTACCGTGGTACATTTAGGTTTGCATACCTGAATTTCTCCAGAGGGAGGGTACATCTTAGCCCTCGGTTTTTGGTGTTGGTAAAGAGCAAACACAGTTTCTGTTGTGAATTTTGCTAAATTTTCAGTAAACTGAACCTGGGATTGGAAACTGAATCTTAACATCTTTAAACTAATCCAATCCCTAATAAATTTGAGAATATGCAAGAAATACAGCCCTGTTGTTTAAGTGCAAAGGTCCAGTATTGCAGTGTAACAAGGAGTAATTCTGTCAGTAAAGGCACCAAACTCCACACTGGAACAGTGAGAGCCCTGAGCTCTGTTAATACAGCCAGGATCAGCTGTAGTTTTGCATTGCTTCTGTTTCAGGCAAGAAAACATCATCTGGATTTTAATACCATTAAGGCATCCTAATAAAATTCTGTGCTGTCCTCCTCATCCCACTGCACTTTCAAGTCCAAATCTTTGAAGAGCATGGTGAGGGGAGTGTCTGTGTCCTGGCCCGGGGACAGGCTCAGTTCTGTGCAGCTCAGCTCCTTTGCTGCCGGGAACATTTCCGTGGCTGCAGTCTCTGGGAGCTGCCCTTTGTTTGCAGGATGTGGGGATGACTCTGGCAGCCCCCACTGCTCCACGTGCTTCTCTCCAAGGAAATCATTCCCAGTCCGGACTGAGAGAAGCAGGGCTGCTGACAGAGGTGCCAGCAGTTCCTCCTCTGGGCCGCAGTGTGGGGCAGCTTTCCCTGCAGACAGCAGCAGGGGCAGCTCTGCCTGTTGTCTGTAGCATCCTCCCTGTTGCAGCAAAGCCAGGGACAGTTGGGACACACACTCTGCATTTTCCAGCCCCTCGCTCTGCAGCAGCAGCTGGGTGTGCCCAGGGCTGCCCTGGATCACAACCGACTCCAGTCTGTCCCTGCTCTTCCACAGGGGCTGCTGCTCTTTGTAATCCCGGTGGCTGCAGCTCTTTCCCAACCCCTGGGTTTGGAGTTTTCCATCCACGGAACGATCCGGAGGAATTTCCTGCAGCCTTTGGTCCTGCTGTGAGCTCTGCTCGTGCTCTGAGCCCTCCACACACAGCCCATAGGTCAGGGCCAGGCTGGAGCTGCCAGGAATGCTCTGCTCAGCCCTCTGAGGGGCATAAACACTCGGAGCTGGGATATCCTGAGGGGGCAGCCTCAATGTTGGAACATCTGCCTGCTGCTGGTAGGGACAGAAGGACACTGGTGGCTCCAGGGCCCAGTCCAGATGTTGGCTCATCTGGGCCAGCTGCACTTCAGGGATGGAAAGGGAAGGTTTGGATAAGCTGAGGGGTTTTATGATGTGCTCCACTGTCAGTGTGAGAGGCTGGAACGATGGAATCCCTCCGAAGTCCTGGTGGAAAAGACAAAAAAGCACCAATTATTAACAAGAAGTGGTGACCTTGAAGGTTTGCTTCAGTTATTCTAACGTTTTCCTTATAGAAAGTGTCAGTAAAAGCCAGTAACAACCACAGGGATCTGCTCTGCTGACAAAAGAACTCTGCTTTTTTTTCCCTGGAGAATGGCCATTCACAGGAATACAGACATTTCTCATTGTATGTCCACTGAGCAGTCTTGAAATATGAGGAAGAAAATCTGCTTTTGCAATATTTGACCTAAGCCCTGCAGCATGGAATTAGCATGAAAATCCTTGAGCTCATTAGCATGAAAACCCAATTCTTGCTGTGGGAGATGAGGGATAGGTGAGAATCCCAGGATTTCAAGGGAAATTTGGGATTTGGGATGTCTCAGGTTTAGCAGCCTAACCCAAGGGGCTCAGTTTGGGGCACCCTAAAGTATCAATAATCTGCAGTGATTGCCAAACCAAGCTTTTAAATCAACCCTTTAAATGAGGGAGGGTGGGCTTACATTGGATTTTGGGGAGAAATGCTTTACTCAGAGAGTGCTGAGGGCCTGGCACAGAGCAGGGATCCCTGGCAGGGTTTGGAGGCACCTGGGACAGTGGCAGGTGTAGAACCCAGAGCAGGGCATGCACTAAATGACCTTTCAGTCCCTCCAGCCCCAGGCAGGGGTGAGTGATGGTGTGATTTCTGAGCTGCAGGGCACTCACCAAGGCCCTGGGCTGGGCACTGTGCTGTTTGATGTATTTGTAGATCACATAAGCACTGGCAGCAAAAACCAGCCCAGCACAGAACGCCAGGGCCACCAAGCAGTAGAGAACCCACGTCTTGTCTGGGGAAAGAAAAAGTGAAAAAAAAACTGGATTAGAAAAATACCACAGTTAGCTCAGTGATGGCACAGGTTTAGTCTCATAGGAATGAATTTTTAAATTATTTAAACCTTCAGTGCTGAAAATCAATGCATTTTGTGTATCCAATATCCCAGCTGGATTTTTCAGCTTCCAGCAGAGTTAACAGCCTCACCTGCCAGAGTTTTGACCCAAAACACTTGAGGTTTGCTCCTTCTCTGCAGCAGACACATATAAACTGTCCCATTGTATTCAGTGTCTGGGTCCAAGTTGGAAACTTCAAATTCTTTGCTGTGCTCATTCTTTGTCCACTGAAAAGAAAGATAAAATCTGTATTTGGGAAAGATTACATTTTCTTCAATTCAGATTGCATAATTCAGCATAAAATATTATTTACTAATGAGGTCTTATAGGGCTCTAATTATTCTGTATTTATGGAACTCTGGTTTTTTTCTGAATCATATTTATATTATTTTGTTTTCTATTATTTCTGTATTTAATTTTGTACTTCAGTTTCTGAAGTAATTTTTAGTCACCCATGGTTTTACTTTTTTGCTACTTATCCAGTACTCTGGGAAAGTCCTTTTTTCCCCAGAATTTAAGAAGAAATCTTAAAGCTCCTGTTATCCTGAGAGCCAAAGGCTCCAAGACTTTTTCCCTTGTACCTCAGAAATCTCCCCCATGCTGTGCAAACCGAGATCCTTCTCCAGCTCATCTGCAATGGGATTTACAACATCCCAGGCTTGTGCTTTACCTGCTGCTGTGTCCTCTGGTTGAATATTGTCAGGTGATAATCCACGGCCCCGAATTTGCTGTAAATGTCCTCCACAGTGAGCTGCTGGCCATCCTCACCTCGCAGGGGGGTGAGGGGAGGGCGGATCAGGAATTTTATGGAGCGTACAAAGGGAATGTGTTCCACTTGTGGGGCCCCTATAATGGCTGGGAAAGGCAGAGCAGGCAGGGTCAGCTGTGCTAATAACATCTGGTTATGAGCAAATGGTTATTTCTGTTTGTACAAAAGTGTCTGAGCTGTGTGAGCACGGCAGGGGTCATGTTGGAGACAGAGGTGGTTTTGGGGTTCTGTTCCTTTCCAGTGTTTGTCCCCAGGAATTCCCATCCCAGGTTTTTCCAGCTCATGTTCCCTGTCCCTGTGCAGGATTTCCTCCTTCATCTGTGTGTGAGGGGTGAAATCCACTCAGGTAAGAGCTGCCCAAATCCCAATTCCCATCCTACACCAGATTTACAGAGCTTTGGTGCCTGCACTTTCCTCTGCTGACAGTCACACACCACACCCAGCACTGCAAAGGGCTTTAATCCAAATTTCCACAGCTTTTTTACTGCAAAGGTCTGAAGGCTCTTCACAGCCATTGGCTGCTGATGCCACCTTGGATTATTCTTGGTGATTTTTCAGTGGGGAAATTTTAGCCACAGAGCCAATAAGGCCCCCAAAGGCTGCAGTGGGGCTCACTTTGGGGTTGGCACATGAAATAACCATTGGAATGGATGCTCATCCCAATGTTCCCATTTCACAGCCCCTGGGACTCCTCAGGTTGCCCATCATGTCCCTTACTCATTTCTTTATTCCTCACACCAGCAGCTCTCCCTTCCATCACACCTGGCTTTTCCTTTCTCCTCTGATCCCACTTTAGGCTCAGATCTCAGCTGAGGCCCTGCCCATTTCTCATTTACATCCTTGCCCAAAATCCCAAATCTGCAACCCTTCACTCCCCCCCACCAAACACAGGGCCTTGTAAGACTGAAATGTGAGGAAATGCTGCCCTGAAGGACACAGGAAGGAGGATTTGTGGTGCAGAGGACCCAGGAAGGAGGGTTGGTGGTCCCAGGAAGGAAGATTGGTGCCCAGGAGGGAGGATTGGTGGCCCAGGAGGGAGGGTTGGTGGCCCAGGAGGGAGGATTGGTGGCCCAGGAGGGAGGTTTGGTGGCCCAGGAGGGAGGCTTGGTGGCCCAGGAGGGAAGTTTGGTGGCCCAGGAGGGAGGGTTTCTGGTGGTACCTACTCTCTTTGCGGGGCTCGAACCTCTCGGAGCGCACCCAGCTGGAGGAGCAGCCCCTGGCCCTCACCCTGCCATAGAAATGCTCCCTGAAGTTCTCTGTCTCCCTGCTGAGGTTGCAGAAGAGCTGGGTGATGCTCTGGCACTCACGCTTGCTGAGCCAGGATTTGTCTCCATACCTGAGATCAAAACAAAGGTTTGGGGTTGTTTGGTTGAACGGGACTGGAGGAAAATGGAACAGACAGAAGGAAGTTGCTGATGGTAAGAGGAGTAATGGAGCAGAGCAACCCAAGATGTAAAATATTTGTTTAAATGAGCATCATCTCCCACTTTGAATAATCCTGCAAGAAGAGCCATAATACAGGCAGGAGAAACAGCAAAATCAACTTTTGTCTCTTGGCCCTTCTGTCTCTGAGACCCCAGAGAACAGCCCAAAAGAAGCAAATTTCACATACTGTTTGTACTGCACATCAAACACAGTGCCAGGGGGAATTTCTGCCTCTGTTTCCCACGTCAGGATGTTCTCAAAGTTTGTGGAAGAAAATGCTGCACGTTTCAGACATGATGGTCTCTCTGCAGTCACAATTCCTGAAGGAGCAGAGAAAATTGTATTAAAAAAGCATTTTCTGACATCTCAGAATGAAAATGGATCCTGTGGTATTTTGCTAAAGCTGGGCTCAAAAGAGGGAGCTAGAGCAGAACAATACTTCAAACTGTGTTCACATCACACTCTTGATTAATCCCAAAGAAATGTAGGTCAGGAGTTTTTACAGAAAAACCTCAAAAATTCGAGTCAGAAAGAGAATTCTTGAATTTTCTCGTCGAGTTTCTTCAAGAGCCATTAAATGAGTGGTAAAATAAGACCAATAACCTGTTTTCCAGCCCAGAATCACATCTGTGAATGTCTCTTATTTCTGCCCCTGCTCAAGGAAGTGACCTGCAGCACTCAGTGTCACCTCCCTGAAGAAGTTGTTCCCTTCCCCTGTGGTGCTGCAGGTGTTATTGGATGGAACCTGCCCGTACAGAGTGACACCCCATGTCTGGACTCTGGCCTGGGTGTGCCAGGGTGACAGCAAACAACTCAGGCAGCTCCCTCCTTTCTGAGCCCTGCTCCTCTTCCTGGGGACAGCAGCTCTGCCTTTGGGGCACCAATGTCACCTGGCCCTGCAAACGTGTCCCTGGGCAGCAGGATCCCACTGTGGCCCTGCAGAAAAGCCCTCGAGGATTTTGTCTCTCTCTTATCACGAGAAAAAAAATTTATCACACTGCAAAATTTTCCCAAGGCTTATCCACAAGAGTTTCTAACTTCAGGATTTATAAACTCTCCGTTCAAATTACAGGCAGACCCTCAAAGGTAAATCATTTCTACATTATTCAGCTCTTGGTTGTGGCACTGATAAACATCTGGGGCATGTGAGAGCTTCAGCCTGCAGTGAACAATGTGAAAAAATGGAATGAGCAAATGAAAATAGCACAGATGGGCAAACTGAGCACTGGGATTGGAGGTGACTTGGACAAGATCTCATAGAACAGAGACTGAATCCCACCTGGATCCTCGCTCCAAACTTTCCCCACATGGACCAGAGCTGAGTGTGAGCAGTCCAAACTCTGGCTGAATGGAGGAGGGTCAGGCAGGAAGGCACAGGTCCCCTCTCATCCTGTGTGTGGCATTTGGGCAGGGAAGTGGTGCTGAAATGAGCTGCTGGCTGCTCCACATTTTGTCCTGACTTCATCTGCAGCTCCACATTTGCCTCTGCTCATTCCAGCCTCAGCAATGTGGGTGTGAAGGAATGGGATTCTCTGTCTGAGCACCCTGAAAACTGAGTCACAAATCCCCCGAGCTTATCAGGAGTAGGAAATCTCTCTCTTCCCACATTTATCCATGCTAGGACACTGCTATGCAAAGCAGCATAACACCAGCACATCCAAGTGTGGGCAGGGGAAAACCAGGATATTTCCCAAGGTGACATTCCCTTGGGCTGAGGAGCTGCACAGGGAAGGATCCCAGACACGAGCAGAGGAATGAATGACAAGGCTGGAAGCTGAAAAGCTGCTGTCTGCAAAGAGCAAGTTTATCCTTCATTCACCCAGCACTGAGCTTGTCACATCTGGAGCAGGATTAAATGGCTTTTAGAGGGTAGATACAGATGAGATATCAGGGAGAAATTGTTCCCTGGGAGGGTAGGGAGGCCCTGCACGGGGTGCCCAGAGCAGCTGTGGCTGCCCCATCCCGGGAAGTGTCCAAGGCCAGGCTGGACAGGGCTTGGAGGACCCTGGGACAGTGGAAGGTCCCTGGGTGGGATGAGATGAGCTTGAAGTCCCTTCCAATCCAACCACTCTATGACAACTCCCTCGTTTTAAGGTTACATTATTTGTTTGTGCCTCTTTTAAAATCAGGACTGTTCTTGTCTTCATTTGTGCCTTTGCTTAAGACACGAGGAAACTCCAAAGCCCCCTGATACCAATGAATTTCCTTCACTCCGGTAGGATTTGGGTTTTGCACAGTGACAAACCCGTGGAAGTGAAGGAATCTTTTCCTCTCCCTCCTAAGCCGTCAGTGCCGAGCATTCCAGCCACACATGGGAGTTACTACAAGGAGAGATCGGCACAGAAAGACAACAGCTCGTTCTCTAGGTGATCATTCAGGAGCCAGGATTGAGTGCAGGCTCCAGGATCAAACAGAAACACCACAACCAGCCAGAGCAGAGGAGAGCTCAGCACTTACCGACCACTGAAACTCCAGCCAGGACGATCAGCAGTGGCTTCATGAAGAACTCTGCAGCCCGGGCTGTGAGAGCAGGCAGTGGCTCCTGTGTGCAGGTGAATCACCTTTTCCAAGAGCTGAATTCTTTCTTGCCAGGCCAGGTTGGATTTGTTGCTCAGTAACAGAGCAGAGCTGCTGTGCTGCCCTCGCTGGGCTCTGAGCTGCTCGGAGCCCTGCGCATGTGTGACCCAGGTGAGAGTGACAGCAGGAGCACCTCTCCCCTCAGTCACACCTGACTGTTCAAAGGTGCACGAGCCAGAGGCTGAGAAAATCCCCAGCTCCTGAAAAAGAGCCAAATACCTTTTTGGTGAGAGCTTCCTGCCTGAAAGCCCTCCCTGAGGTTCCTGGGGTTTGAGGTTTGCTCTTCTGGTCGTGTAACTTGAGCTTGTTACAACTATAGACATTAAATCTTAGTGCACCTGCTTGGTTTGATACCTGCTGCAAGCAATGCACCTATTTCCTTAAAAAATACTCCTGAATACTATCTGAAAATGAAAGTCAGCCAGAGCACTGGGTTTTATGCTCGTCTGTTGTTTCTGCTGACCTTGGATGGGAACTGAAGGATCAGCACATGTCCTGCTGCAGCCTGGGCTGAGCAGGGGCTCCTCAGCTCTGCCCTGGCTCTGCACCACCAGCTTCCCTCACCTGATGTGGGAAAGAGGTAGAACAGTGGTGGCCTTTCCACAGGAGGAGCACCTGCTGTCCCACAGCTTTTTACAGAGGCCATTGTACACCTTCAGTGTTTATTTTTGTGGCTGTTTACAGTGTAAAGTTCTGTTACTGAATCCACGTGATGGGAACTGGGAGTTTGGACACCAAGAAAGGGGTACAGTCCCTTTTCCATAATGTGTTCAGTCTTTAGGGTGTTGTTAGGTTTTCAAAAATACGAACCCTGTGTGCTTCTGGAGCTGAACGTTGATTTCACTGCTCCATCCTTGTGGCCAAACGTCACAGAATTGACAAACCCCTTCTGCTTCCCTCCTCATCCGTGGATTTCCTGTTCCTGCTGCTGTTTCTGTTCCCTGCCCTGCTTGGCTGTGCTTCCAGCCCTGCCATGGTGCATCACTGTCCCTTTGTCATTCTCAGCTCACCTGGACAAGGGCAGAGGCCTCGGGTTTGTTAGAGCAGACACACCTATCCACCAGTGTCTAATTAAGCACAAGTGTTTGTTAGGGTGTTTCCTGAACATCCTGCTAAAAGTATTTCCATTTTCCCTTCCCTCACGTCACTGCCTCACGCTCCTGCTGTGATGGGCAGAGCTGAGCGACCTCGGTGTGCACCTCAATTCTGAGAACAGAACTTCAAACTTTACCTCTGCTCTTATTTCTAGCAAGGTGTCACCTTTTGAATAGCCCTCTCTGAATCTTTGGGGACCTGAAGATGTCCAAAACTCGACTTTCAAGTTTAAAATTTGGGTTTTATCTTCCAAACTCTCTCCAACTTTTGATTTCCCCCCAGTGTGTGGGAACTGCAGCAAACCTGGTGAGTGCTGGGTGTGGACCCTCCATGTGTGGATGTGGCACCTGGGGACAGGGTGGCTTCACAGCAGGACTCGATGATCTCCAGGGTCTTTTCCTAAGGAAATGATTCCCTGATGCTGTGCTAAGACCCGGACCAGCTGCTCTGGGAGAGGGAGCTCTGTGCTCTGGCCATGACTGACCCTTCTGCCCAGGAAAACAGCTCTCAAGCCGTGCTGAAAGAAAATGAGGAGTTGGATGCTGCCACCACCTGTCCAGCTCACCTGGCCTGCAGCCTGTCCCTCAGTTCCCTGGACAAGACAAGAACTGATCCCAGGCTCTGTTGGCAGAGCTGGGACATGTCAAAATCATTTTGTAGAGGTTACACAACTTCAGCACTTCCTGTAAGTCAAAGCCTGGGGGATTTTCCTTGATTGCACAAGAAATTGGGTGGTGATTATATCTGGATCATCTGTGTCTTTCCAAATGAACTGGAGGGATAACAATGCAGGATGTACCTAAGGACGCTGCAGAGGACAAAGGAATAGTCCCGCTGGTGAATCCTTTCCCCCACCTCCCCTTTTGACTTTAATTCAGAACTTTAATTAGTACAGCTTGGGCAAAGGAGTTCCCAGTCCCTCCTACCACACCTTACTTCTTTTTTCCCTGATTCTCAAAAGATTTCAGCTCTCATACATCAACACCCTCCTCTCATCTGAGCCCTCTTCCTGACTGCACAGAATGGCTGGGGAGTGTTTCCCTCTTTCTGTTACTGCTTTGCTTTCCTGTGAGTCCTTCACACAAAGACTCCTTTTGATCCTGGAGTATAAAGAGCCTTTCTAAGGGCATGAAGGGATGGGACAAAGGTGATGGCTGCAACTGCCAGAGAGGAGATGCAGATTAGATACTGCACTGAAATCCTTCCCTGGCAGGGTGGGCAGGGCTGGCACAGCTGTGGCTGCCCCTGCATCCCTGGCAGTGCCCAAGGCCAGGCTGGACATTGGGGCTGGGATAACCTGGGACAGTGGAAATGTCCCTGCCATGGCACTGGATGAATTCAGGGTCCCTTCCCACCCAAACCGTTCTGTGATTCTTTGTTCAGTCCTGGTTTTCCAGAGTGACCTGGCTGGGAAGTCTCAGAATTCCACTCCAGCCCAGGATAGGGTCCTGTTTTAAAGGTAATGTTTTTTTCAGGATAAGCTGCAGTCCCCCTTTGTAGCTCAGGAAAAAAAATAACCACGTACACATGGAGATTTCTATCAAAATATTATTGCTTTCAGACATTCTGCACAGCAGGAAGAATTTCAGCTTCAATAAGTATAAAATAAAAAATAAATAAACAAACATGCTGCACCCTTTGGCTTCGGTTCCCTCTGTTGGAACATAGAAGGTGATTCTGCAGGATGAGGTGGAGAACTTTTCATCCCACAAAAACCAGATCTTGCTGAATATCTCTGTAAGGAACTTCCACTCAAGCTCTGCACTTACAGGGAAGCAAAGGTGACACAAAGCAGTTCCAAATCTGCTCCAAATCCACGTGCAGGCACAACACTGCATTTTCAGGCCCCAGCTGATGGTCCCACCCAGGGCTGGGTTGTGCTTTTGCCTTTCATGGCCCACATGCAGCAATTCCCTTGTTCTGGAGTCTCAGGTGACCCCCAGGCAGTGCCTTTTGCTGGGTGGTCCCTCAGAGATGTCCCTGCCTCCCTCAGCCCTGGCTGTGCCAGAGCCTGAACACCTTATCAGAGGGACATTGACAGTCCAGAGGTGACTTAGCAATAAAATGCACTTTTTTGTGTCCCTAAAGCCATTGCCTGGATAGGCCAGACATCAGTTTTTTGTCCTCGTTCAAGGATCCTTGCTTGGATATCTGGAGCTCTCCAGCATTTTCCAGGCACTCCCCAGACCTGCTGGGTGCTTTAGATCCTTCCCAAGTAATGTGAGTGCTCGTAGCCTGAGAATTGCAGCTTTGGATAATATTTTTCCTCTGTATTTGATGTCTCAAAAGCATCACTCAGCACTGTGGACTCGGGTGGTGTCCCTTCTGTAAAAGTGTCACTGCCACAGTCACTGGCAATGCCCTCATCCTCTGCCAGCTGCAGTGTCCACAGGGGGATGAGGAGCTGCCTGCTGGGATCCTCTCTGGGCTGGGATGTGGAGCCCATGTGGAGCTGCAGATCCACGATGGATTTCTGGTAATCCCTGGAGAATTGAGGAGCCTTCCTGTGTGGGTGCTGCTCATGGGGTTCAGCACAATCCTCCCCCAGCAGGGGCTGAAGGGGGCTCATTCCCAGCCTCTCATCCCTGTTCCCATCCTCCATGTTTCCATGGATCCCTGTTTCCATGAGTCCATGCTCACTGGCACCTGGGAATCTCACATCAGTGAGGGATATCCTTCCCAAGGAGGAACAGAGATAAAGGGATGTCTCCTCCTGGGACCCTGAGGTGTCCACCTGACCCTGCCTCTCTGCAAAGAGAGTGAAGCCCAGGGCTCTGAGGTCAAGCACAGATCCCCTGTCCACAGATCCTGATCCTGAATCCAAGTTGGTTTCCCCTGGGGCTGCTGGGGCTGCCTGACAGCTGAGATGTCTCTTTGCCATTGCATGGTATGGGATCAAAGTGCTGCTGTCTTCTTCCTCCTCATCCTCATCCTCTGAAGATGATGGGAAAGAAGCCATCCATGGCAGGTGCTGTCCTCCTAAAGCTCTGTTTGTCCTCCTTTGAGGCACTGGCTTCTCTGTGCAGTTCAGATCATCACTGCAGAATTCCTTTTCACTGAGCTCCAAGTGGAAGGTTGGTCCAGCAGCTTTAAATTGAGAGAAATCCTGCCAGGGAGAAGGAATGAGACACTGAGCCTGTGATGCTTTCAGAAGAAAAGCTTGGATGTAAGAAAGATTATTGCAAAAATGGGAATTACAAATGTAAAACTGAGAAGTGAAGAACCCCCCACTCATCCCCAGTTACCCTCTGAAAACCAGCAAGACTCTGAGTCAGGAGATTCAGAATTTGGGCCATACCAAAACCTGAGGCATCTTCCTCTGCTTGGCCTCGTGTTTCACCAGGCAGCAGATGAAGGGACTGGCCACAAAGATGGGGGGGACAAACAGAAGGATCACAACCAGAAGTGGAAACCTCCAGTCCAGTGCTGAAAAAGACAGAAATAATCTCTTGTGAGTGGTATTTTTATAGGAATTATGGGCTCTACACTGACATACAATATTCAAGGTTTTCAGAAAACATTTCAGGGTTGGCTTTTTTCAATGAAAATATTTCTACTGAAAGCAGGAACTGTTCACCAGAAAATCCAACCAGTCCCTTTAACAGGAAGCTTTTTTTTTTTTTGTGTGGTGAAAACCTGATTTTAGTGGAAATCTTTGCCTTGCCCTCATCCCACTGGATGTCTCCCACATCCTTTCCTGAGGAGGGCCATACCTTTGTGCTTTAATAGCACACACACAGGCTGGGAGAATTCACTGTGCTTCAAGTTGATGCTTTCATAGAGAGCCCTGGCACTGAAGCAGTAATTGCCCCTCAGAGCAGTGGTGTTGATGGTCACTGTGTCCTTCCTGAAGTAACCTTCATATTTCTTCTGTTGAGACACAAGCAGAGGATTGGAGAGATGATTCTTTCATTATTGAGCTGCTCTTTCTGGATCACTTTAGCCCATGGATCCAGGGTGGGAATTCCAGCTGTGCTGGGCTCTGCTGTGCCAGGGAATGCTGCCAGTGGCACCTGGATTGTTTTAAACCTCAGAGCTTTTGACTGACTGCAGTGTAGCCTCCCCTTCCTGATAAAAATAGGGAACTACAAAAAAAAAAAAAAATAAGGATGCACACACACACTTCTACTTTTTGTCTCTGGCTTTGGTTTAGCTCAGGTTTGGCTGGTTCATTTCCTCCAGACCTGGATCCAGTCCTTCCCTCCCTGCCCAGAACTTTGAAACTCTTTCAGTTCCTCCATTTCATCTAAAAAGAGCCACTTTTACTGACCTTATCTTCAGATCCTGCTTCCCAGAGGTTCAAGTCATACTTCCAGGTGAGGTTCTCCACGCAGGTGGGCAGAGGGAAGGAGACACTCACATGGATGGAATTCTCCCTGACGTTCAGGCTCAGCACGGGGGGAGCCAGTTCCACTGCAATGGTGAGAGATGTGAGGCTGGGGCTTGCTTGGCTCTTACCTCCCCAGCAGTGACACTTTCCTCACTTCCAGCTGTTATCTCGTGATAAGAGGGAGGCAAAGGACACCTCTTTTATCTAAAACACCCCACAGAGCTTGAAACCACTCTGTTCAGCTGATGAACAAATCCTGACACTTGCTACAAAATTCATCCACAAATGATCCCAGCTTGCTACTGTTCGTGCTCACTCAGATCTCTGCCACGCACAAAGCTCCTGGATACCTGTGGGGTGTGGTCTACCCGTCTATGGGAATGTCCTTCCATCCAGGCTGTCACCTGGCAGGCACTCACCGTCTGAGTAGTAATCCTTGAACTGGGATTTCACCCAGGGCGACTGGGACCGTCCCCAAAGCGCTTTCACCCGAGCCCGCACTTTAACGTAGAGGTTGGGGAGGGCACAGGTCAGATTACAAAAGGATCTGGGGATGTTTTTGCAATCAGGAACCTTCATCCATTTGTCCAGGCGATCCTGGCTGAAAGGAACAACCACACCAAAATATTCAACACGTGCTGCTGCGATTTCTAGAGCAAGAGAAGGAAGGGTTTGGGAGGGTGGTGAGCAAACGGTGCTCAGAGTTTGGAACACTTCCCAGACGGATCATGTTTAGTCTGGTGCAAGGTCACTGGTCATTAGGACAGTCATTAATCAGGAGAGAGGCCCAGTAGTGTCACCACTTTGATCAGACGTGGTTTGGGAGCTCTTACCTTTCATACCTCACAGTGTAGGTCACATCTGGGGGGGAGCCTTCCCCTGGAGCCCAGGTCAAAATCATGGCAAAATCCCTTGACAGCAGGGTCACATTTTGAGGAGGGAGGAGTTGAACATGACCTGATCAAAAGGGGAAATTATGTGAATGATTTAAAAATATCTTTGGGGATAGGAAGTACCACTTGGTTCTCACTAAGGTGGTGTCAAAATTTGAGGCAGAGCTGTTCATTAAAGGCTGGAAATGGGCTCTGGAAGCAGGTGTGATGCAATGGTTTCCTCATCTCTCAGAAATCATCTTCCTCTCAACAGCTTTTAGAATTATGACTGACATTTATATGAACAATCTATTTTATAATTTCAAGTGGCTTTCCCCATAGTCTGACTGCATTTCACTGATTCTGCCTGACTCTCTGGACAGACACGGCTGTCCCACACTTGTCATTCAATCCCAGTCCTCCCAGGGCAGATCCTACCAACAATTCAGAGCTGCAGGTTTGTCCTGTACATTTTCCTGCTTCTATTTTTCCCAGCAGATCACTATGTCCATCACTAGCCCTCAACAAGACACCTTCCACAGACAGATTTTAAACTGTGGCTTCTTTACCATGGAATATCCCATTTCAACTGATTAAAATTTCTCTCTCCTCCTACCAACAAAGCCATTTAGTGAAAGGAAAAGTAGCACTGAGGTGTGCACGTACCTCGAGCCTGCTGCAGAAGGCACAGAGCCATCAGGGCTCCCACCCTCCAGCCACTCGTGGCAAAGCAGAATTTCCCACTTGTCATAAGTGTCTCTCCTTGATCCATTCTCACCGTGTTTCCTGTGTGAATTCCAGAGGGTTAGGCAGTTCAGGAGCTGCACACATGCGCCCTGCCTCACTTCCTGGTCCAGCCCTGCATGTGTGACTGGGAGAGGAGCAGGTGTGAGAGGCTTTGGGGGAAAGGAGAGGTAAAGGTTGCAGTATTGCACCCTCCAGCTGAGCCCTGCACAGGGGAAGAGCTGCTCATCCGGGGAGACACCTCGGTGAAACTCTGACCTTTGGTACTTACTGCGTGGCTGTGAAATATTAGAACTTAAATAAGCTTTTAGTGCAGGAGAGAGCTATTAATAACCTAGCAACAATAAAAACAGTGAGATTGCAGACTCTGGTGTTTACAGGAGATCTAAAATTTCCTCTTAGTTTATGTTAGCACAATGTTTTTTTTGGAAGTTAGGGAATAACTCCACTTTACAGCTTGGGGAGTAAAGTGCAGAGATAGGACAGGATCTGCCCCCTGCCAGTGTGGGCACATGAAAAGACCTGGATCTCTCTGCCACGCTGCCAGGTGTGCCCAGGTGTGTGCTTGGAATGGCTGTGCCACTGCAGGAGGAGGAGGAAATCCCTGGCTCAGTCATTGTTTGGCTTTTGAGCTCTCCTGCCTTCCCATCACAGGCAGCCCCAGGCCTGTGCCAGCAGCAGGGATGGATCAGTGGAGTTACCACACAGGAGAGTTACAGCAGCTGAAACAAAAGGGATTTTCCCAGGTCTTCCCCAGGTGGAAAACTCTCCCAGCCCAGCACACACAGCCCTTTGTACCCTGGAGCCTGGGAGTGTCGGGTTCTGGGTCAAAGTCACAATTGCCTCCAAAAATCTCCATTTCTTCTTACCACGGGTTTCTGTTTCTACTACATCCATTTAATTTCATTTAAATTTTATGGAGTTTCTCTTTCTTGTGAAAAAAAGAATTGTTGTCCTCTCTAATGAAAACAGCGAAATGAAGGGTCTGGAGGGTTTATTCCCCTTCAGCACCCAAAGTGCAGAGCCACAAGCACCCCACGGCTCTTGCAGCAGCCGGACAGGACCGGGAGCGGGCTGAGAGCCCGGGGCAGCTCCTCCCTGAGGTGACTGCGAATTTTAGTGAGCGTTCACATGAGGTGAATCTTAACATCGTCATCATCATCACCATCATCATCATCATCACCATCATCATCATCATCATTATCATCATCATCATCATCATCATCATCATCGTTTCCTGTGAACACCTGCGCTGAGCTCTGGGCTCCCCCGGCCCCTCTGGCAAAGCTGCCCCGATGTGCGGCTGTCGGGAGAGCTGTCACTGTCACAGGAGCTGTCACTGTCACAGGAGGAGCTGTCACTGTCGGGAGAGCTGTCACTGTCACTGTCGCTGTCACTGTCGGGAGAGCTGTCACTGTCACAGGAGGAGCTGTCACTGTCGGGAGAGCTGTCACTGTCACAGGAGGAGCTGTCACTGTCGCAGGAGGAGCTGTCGCTGTCGCTGTCCCGGGAGGAGCTGTGGGGTGGCCGGTGCCACGAGGTGTCGCTGCCTGTCAAACAAAAGGCGCTTTTCTCCAAAGCCACACCGCCTGAAAGCTTTGGGATCCGCTGAGCAGCGGCCCCGGGTGATTCCCGGAGCATCCTCTCATGGCACGGGGGGCACAGCCCACCCAAAGTTCTGCTCTGCTCTGTCTCTGGCTGGTGGCCAGGAAGGGATCAGGTGCTGGCAGGAGCAGGACTGTGTGTGACAGGACCCATCAGTGCTCTGGGACCCTGCTCTGGAGTCCTGGGATGTCTTTAGGATACAGGGATGGTGCTGAGGACTGATAACAGAATTTATCCTTGGGCAAATCATGCTGGGCCTGTGTTCTCCCACTGGTTTACTCCTATGGAACATAAATATTCAAATATTCTTATCCCCGAACCAGCTGGACACAGTCCTGTGCAGTGTGCTCTAGTGTGACCCTGCCTGACCCCACGGTGGCTTTTTCCATCCTGCATCACTGTGTGATGCTGTGATTTGGGATGGGGCTGTCACTCCATGGCACAATGGCTCAGCCACCCCCCACTCTGTGACACCGAGGGGACTCCCCCAATTTTCCACCTCGTCCCTCCCTGTGTGCAGCAGATGATTCAGCACAGGAGAGCAAACCCTGCAGCCTCCCCTGAGTCAGGCTGTGGGTACCTGCCCTCCCTGAGGAGGAAATCCAGTGTGAGGAAGGCACAGCTGGGGCTGTGCTGGGGTTTTGTGAAACCTTTGGTAGCAAAAGGCAGCACCAAGTGTTGTCACCCCTTCCCTTTGCTCTCAGCCCACCCTGGAGCTGTTCTGGCAGAGCTGTGTGTGCTGCAAGCTGGGAGCTGGGGAGGGAGACTGAGCCCAGGGAGGAAAAAACAGATTAAAAATTGTAACAGGGAATTCCTGATACTGATGGCACCATGGGAAACCTCTGATCCAGAAGTGCAGCAGGTGAATGAGCATGAGAAAATATTCCTTAGCACCCAAAATAAAAAAAAGACACATTCTGAGACTGAAAGTGAAACCTCGCTCAGTTCTAAAGTTTTCTCTGGTAATTTTGGGGGAGAACATTCTGATTTTCAAGGACGCTTAGAGGAAGAGCAGAAAGTTTTCAAACAATGCAAAAGTCACTGGTTTTTTCCCCTGTCCTGAGCTTCTTGCACTGAGAGAACAACTTTGGCAGTTCCTGTGCCCAGCTCTCCCTTCCTTCCCCTGGCTCTTGTGGGTTCCTGGAACCATCGGAGCCATCCAGGAACTCCCAGGGTGGGAACTGCCCCCGCCCTGGCAGGAGGAGACAGATTCCAGGGACAGCCTGACACTGCCACCTCCAGCAGCTCCAGCAGCCCCATCCTGGCTTCAGGGAACCTCAACCTTCTTCTCTAGCCCTGGGAAATCTTTGTTGGAGGTTTAGTTCTGATTTTGAATGTGGCACTTGATCTTCTGTGGCTCAGCAGGGGAATTTTCTTCCTCTTCCTGCTCAGGACCAGCCCTGACACATAGGCTGCTGATGGTTGGATTTCAGGGGAATTATTCTGGAAGGTTCACAAAGCAAACATGGGGAAATGATGAGATTAGCAAAGGATGAAACTCTACTGAGAGTTAAAAGGTTAAAAAATCTGCAGAGCTGGGTGATGCCAGATGGTAAAGCAAAATACAGCAGCGTCCCCCTGACCCAGACAGGCATCTGGGCAACCTGTCACCAGGAGGAAGGGAAGAGAATGGGCTTGGTTTGTTTTTTAAACTGAATCTGAAAAGACTTAAAATGAAAAGCAAAAGCAAAAACAAACCCATAAATTTTGTTCCCCATACAAATGCTATGAATCATTTCATCTCTTTTATTTTTTCTTCTGAGGGAGGGTTTTACAGGAACTCAGGGCTTTGCCTGTGCACAGGAGCTGAAGCTGGCCATGATTCAGAGTGTGTACATTTAACAGTCTGTTCCTAAATGTGAGGAGAATACAGGGAATCCTGCAGGGACCCCTGGACCCCGCAGGTCAGGATTTATGGGACAGTATTTGGGTCACATTTAGGGGATGCTGGGAGGACCCTGCACCCTTTGCAGCAGCAGTTCCTGGTGCTGCAGCTCTGAGCTGGCTCCAGTTTACCTTGGCCAGGACCTGCAGCTTTTTGGATGCAATCTGAGGTGTGCAAACATGGAATCTGGAATCCTGGAGGTGTCTGGGGAACATTGAAGGCACAACTCTTGAGCAAAGGCAGCACCTCTGGAAGTGCAGCTGATTCCCAGATCAGAGACTGGCACAGGAGAAGAGCAAAGTGGGCTCCTGGTTGAGTTCAGTGAGCAGAATCCTTTTCTACCACTAATCAATGAAATCCAGCAGTCAAATAGGTCTCACTTTAAATCCAAACTACAACAAAGGAGACAAGTTTGGATCCTGGCTTGATCACGGACAGACTTTCCCTGGGATGTG